TCAATAGCTTTCAACCATGAGCACTTCCTTTATGAGCACAAGGTCCAGTACGGATGGCTTCTCTGCTTTCTTGAATCTAATGAGCGAGGTGACGTGGTTGTGTAAGGGAATATAAGTGATACAATCATGGAAGTCTGCCTTGAACTCTTCAGTAGGAGGTGCCGATACCACCAGATTGTGTACAGCGAAGTCACCGGCGATGATAATGTGGCTGTACTTAGGGCGTGCTAACCTGTTCAAGGCACATATCAAGCTGTAATCCATTTCCGCAGCGGATGTCTGGAGCGGTAATAGACAGCTACGAAACATTCGCCGTTGTGTCTTAATCGCAGACGGCACAGGAGTGAGGCGGTAACATGAGTTTCCCCGCCACCAATTATTGAACATTGCTGGTCTCTACGGTAATAAAGTGGTGCCCCACCTCCCCTGCTTGGACAGTTGATAAGAGTGAGTGAGTTTCCTGGAATCTCCAACTCAGAATCAGCAAACTCTTGGTGTAACTTAGCTTCATTGATGCAAAGGAGATCCTGAAAGTTTTGACCTGTTGTCCCCGAACTTCGGTAGTTTTATGTAGGCGCCTTTGGACGCTGATACATAAATGAATACTTCTTTGTTTTCAACAGTGCATCGGAGACTGCAATTCCGACATGTGGTTTGACTAACCAGTGGGTAGGAGGTAACTAGTTTTTACAGTAGGATATCGGCAACTTGCTCGGTCACAGATTCCGCGGCTTCGTAAGTAATCACCAAACCAACCTTTTATGTTCGTAGTAAGGAGTATTATCACTCCATTAGCGAGTTTTATGGGCCCCTCACTTTGCTGATATACTGTTTCAGTGTATTCCCTATCGTGGTTGATTCTTTCAAAGACATGTCAACACTCTGGGGGCATATCGCTGGATCTCTGCTGCCAAAGCTCGGATAGCAGCGCGGAAGGGAACATGCGCCAACCTTACAATACCCTTACTACCAAACTTTTGTCTGAAGAACCACATTCAATACTCTTGGGTCACACCATTTGTACTTCGGTGATTTGCGTAGCTGTGACACCGATTTCGCCAGTAAATCGTTCTAGGAGAGTGTTTCACGAATGTAACACCATAGTTCTCTATCAAGAGTTGTTATTTCCTGCTCAGCACCTGCTTCCGTTTCAGAAACGCCGGGGACAAGGATCGTACTGGATAAGATTTCCTTTCAGCAGTCCTCCAAACTGCGGTTCTTACTGGATATCCTGAAAGATACGGATGGATCACTGTTCATTTCTGAGTCCATCTGTCGACAACATGACTAACTGTACTTCGGTGATCTAGGTCAATATAGTACGTAGAAATTTTAGATCCTCCTACTGCTTATAGTTGATGTGCCACCTGACCTCCGCTACATTGGCGGGTTTAGACCCACAACCGAGCAGGTCATGGATGAGTTCCCACCGATTGATTTGGTCTAATTACCTGCCTCTAATTAACGTTGGCCCTGGGACAATGGGGTAATGTGCCGTCAACACCGGTTGTTCTTCCTTTCGACATGTCACGGTTAGGGCTTTTCATTTTCTGTGATGTACCACAGGAAGCCGGTGGTGTTTGCACCAGCAAAACATCGCTTCGCTCCTTAGTTTCCCATCCAGTGGGTACTACAGCTAATTTTGAATTTCAATTCTTCTTCAATGCAACCGTAAGCCAACTTTCACTCGTACCAGTTCGCTCACTTTATATGCGCCCACTAGGGAGATTGAGCAAGATCTCATGTGTGCTTATTCCCATCAAACTGAGAACTCGATCATTAAAAGTACGGAGCATGTGTTATTGGAACAGTGGTCCTAGTTATGCAACAAATGCTGTTGTAAAAGTCCATGTACGCAGTTTATATTGTTGTATAATTTAATTTGCATGCATAGACCAACTCATCCCAACATCAATGGTTGCATTTCTACCGCGTGACAAAATGGGAACCCGGTTGTAACTTGGACTAAGTCTGTTGACACTGACTCCTGCATTACCAGCTAACTCAGGGAATAAGTGAAAAACCATTATTTTGCTGTTTTTTCTCAAGCGTTACCGGATACAATCAAGTCGATCTATGATGAAAAGCTAACGAATCACACGTCACCTAACATTTAATCTCAGTATCTCTTTGAAGTATGAAACAATGGTATACTACTTGCTGAATTAACCAAGGCTGGACAAATCCCATAGGACGGTCTGTGTGAAACGACATTCAAATTGCTTTGTAACACCAGACACTGGGTTCACTTTTAGAAGTTTCGTTGGACTGCCCAAACAATTATTTTTGTATATGGTTGTACAATGCTGATGACAAAGGATTGAAACATGTTTTCTCTTTTGTTGGCTTATGAACGAATACCGAGTTAAAAAGACAGTACAAGTTTTGCAGATTTGCCACCGACTACAAGGCAACGTTCGCCGTCCCTCTAGCTTTCGGGGCTACCTGCATTGTTTACGTATTCTTGATATTATATACTAGATTTCCACTGAGTTTATCACCGTTTAACTGTCATACAGCACTCACCCGAACAAACAGAAACCCATCAATCCTTTAGCCATAAAGTTTTTCGGTAGTAGTGCATAGTCCCTCGACATTTGACCCCAGGGCCAGATCGTCCACAGCGCAGCGAATTGCGCAATCATGTCACACCTAACGACAGAGGTGAGTATAAACAGTGTGTCTTGATCTATTACGTTACATCTACCGGTTCCTTGAGTTTTGTTATTATTAGTATGTATATATATACCGCGGCTCGAAAGGTTATCTTTGTATAAACGGTCAGGTTTTATCAAATGTCATGAAAACGGGACCGTGGTAACTATAAGATGAGGCGCGGAAACTACAGGTGCACGTGATAAGCAGCTTTAGAAATCTTGTTATGCAAATCGACGATCTCCCCATGTAGTTATGCGGATTTTATAAGTACTGTGGAAACGTCCGAAACAATGCATGTAGTCATCTTCTGCATTAAACTGTCGCTAGGTAACCACCAAAAATTTTGTCGCGTTCCACCACGTGCTGCTTCAGACTTGGGTGAAATAGCAGAATAGCAACAATTGGTGCATATTCACGTGGCTGTTTATATGAGCGGCAAAATCAAGCCGCCTAATTAAGACACGTTATTCCTGGTGAGCTGATTGCATAGGCTTCTGAGACTGTTGCGAATGCCTGCACTTCTGACGAGGAGCTGGATCGTTCTCATAGTTTAATGACATCTTCGCATACTTGCCGTTGCGAGACCAAGAAACTCTTTGTTGCTTCTTTCGGTAATATGGTGTCATCGAGTACACCAAACGGCTCGGTGAACAGCGCAAAATCCTCTTGATGTTGCAGTGCATTTGTTGACTTCATCCGGTGTTAAAAGGACAAAATAAAATGCTTAAGTGATCATCAGCCATTTACAGTTATAGAACAAAACTATAAAACCGATTGGTTACTGAAAGAACCATAAGAGCTGTGCGGTCTAACGGTTTATCCTGACAAGTCAGTGACCAACATCTTATAAATGTTTGTAAATTTGTCGTAAAAATGTTCTTCATTCCAGTGTACTTTGATTGCATAGAGATTATGTACGTTACAAATTTATTTATTTTCATAGGGTTCTTCTGAATGATTGTTATTTAATAATAGTCCCTTGATACTGCCAAAGTGGTTTCCAATCCAACTTGCGTACATCAGGAATATCTGGGGTTGCTAACACAGTACACACACACACACACACTGGTGCCAGGGGCTTGTAGAACCTGTGCTCAGCTTACCAACTTGAATTTACTCGGTCAACCAATAGATCCGGCTGCTAACCTCATCTCACTCACGTTCCGAATTATAAACCACATGGTACGCCCAGGGCCCTGATGCAGTGTGGGTTGCACTTTTATCATGTCCGCCATGGATCCCGCAACATCAACTAACGGCTTGCGGCCACTGGAAGAACTGCACTCAATCCACGGTTCGAATTAAGGGTTGCAAGCCGAGCTGTGATGACTCAGTTCAAGAGGGCAGGCTCACTGGCAAAGCTTGTTTACCAATGTGGGTCAGTAGGGTCGAAGTCGAAATCTGAGCGACACTCACCTTCGATAAATCAACGAATGGTGAAAGGGCCGTTAGTCAACCACTGATCTTTGGCTACTCATACTTGACACTTGTATTCATGTAGTTCCACCTAGCCACTGTGACTGAAATAACACTAAACTTAGCATCAAATTATGTCGGACTATTCTTGCTACACTTTGTTCGCTGAGCTTGGTACTTTACCATAGGCCTTTCGCCACAAATCTACATGACATCTCCAGTCTCTTCGGTGGTAGGCAAGGAGCTAAGAGCGATTACGTGGGTGAACTACACTTATACTCTACATACAGTAAGTGATACAGGAATGATGGTCAACAGGGATAAAAATGAAAGTTGGATATCGATGTGCTGTGTGGATTAACTGAGTTTCCATTTGAAATGGGCGTATTCTCTACTGTCTCGGATAAATGTCAAATCTATTCATTCACACTGTATCGGGAGTGGGTGGGCACAACAGCAAATTTTTTGCATCTCTCCACTGACGAAGCGTCACGCTGTCTGGAGGAATGAGGTCTTAAAACGTTTTCATCCCGCATCTAATCCCTTCTACTAGTCATTCAAACGTGGAGTAACGAAGATCTAGTATGAATTTCCATGCTCCTATGCGACTTGAATAAAAAGTACATCTAGTTAGTAAATTGCCTTCAGGTTGATAAAGAATCGCGTGCTCTATTGTTACAAGGGAAGGATACGTCTACGGTTGTTGCGACATTGGACACTGGGTTGTGTCTCGGTCATTTGGAAATGACTGAAGACATGAAAATAGCCACCATACCTTTACCCTGATTGCATGGTCACACTTATGTTCGTTGCTAACAATAAAGCACACAGTTCAGCACAACTACCACACTTTCTTCCACCGAATTCTAATTAAATAGACACTGTCTCCGAAAAATCACCCTCATATTTCCATTTGCTCAATTCAGCTTTGTTGACGATATCCGTGTTGGTGGAAGCGAATCGACGGGTGAGCGAAGACCAGTTATCAAAACTGATACGGCCGCATGATAACGTGCCCATACTTGTGCGCCGATTCGGGACAAATATGTGCCTATGCATGACATCCGACGAGGGTATCGCAGTTGAGGTAAGTTGCAAGTGTTACGTTTGTTTCAACAGTAGCCTTGTACTATTTTGTTACTTTCCACCAGGTGTTGTCCACGAACCGCGAAAGCCATATTCATGAGGACCAAGCTGGGTTTGGACGAACTCCAGTCTGTTTGAATCAATGAACAATGAACAATGATTTATAACGGGTAAAAAAGCAGGTGCTTGGCATGCCCCGTAGGGTGTTTAGCGTGATAAAAATATAGCGAAGGCATAATGGAATCGTCAGTTCGGGCGCTTATAGATGTAACTGCACTGTCGTATAAAGGGAGTTTGAAATGAGAATGTACGCACACAAAGCAACAGGGGAGTGGTTATTGTTCATATGATAGGCGAGAAATATAAAAAGGATAGCAAGGACAACGCTTACTCGTGTGCAGCTATCTTGGGTCAACAGGATACAGAAATCCAGTTTCTGTAGCAGTAGCGTTTATCAAATTTCGTGCAAGGCGTTTGGAGTTACTCATTCTCGAGTATGGTTTTGGCACTATCCTGTTGGCACTATCTGTTGTGCATTAGTGCCAGCATCTTCAGATCATGTCAGTTGTTGGAGCACCGCCACATTTATTGGCCAGCCAACGTAGTCATGTTTCTCGACTTCAAAGGTGCCTTAGATATGAACTCTCTTCTCAGAAAAGGCGTATCAGAGCGCTTTTTGTGCGAAGTTTGGGCGCAGTGAGGGCTTGCGGCAAGCCTTCGCTGCACCACAATACTTCCAGCGCTGTAATCTAGGGAAACCCACTGCAAATTGGTCACCCACGAAGTAGTAGTAACTGCTGTCTCTGAATAGGACTTACAAGATGTAGAACTGCATCCTGATGATCGACTTTTAACTTGGAGTATACTGACGGTATTACCTTAGTTTGTGACAAGTCCCAAACATGCCAAGCAGCAATGGGCAATTTAGCATTTGCTGTCACTCATTTCGGGTTATATTTTCGCTTTCAAAATGCAAAGTCCTCTATGGTTGGCATGGACCCACACTTGCGCTGAACTTTGATGGGGATCAGCTAAAAGTTCTCAAGAAATTCAAGGCTTTAGGTAGCTATATCAACGTTTATGGAATAGGAGATGAGATCTAGAGATGAATAGCAAACACTCGGGGCTCTTTTGCCCATATCGGCCACCTGTGGCAAGACATGACATCACCCTCACCCGGAAGGGCAGTGTTTACAACAAAGCGGTCGGTTCAGCCCTACTGTACGGTTGTTAAGCCTGGTCCCATCAAGTCGCTAGATATACAGAGGCTAAGTAACTTCCATCATTGCTGACTTCACAGCTCAGTTCTCATCTTGTGGAAGAAATTACTTGAGCAATGGGTATGTTTGGCGCGATGCATTTAGTGCAGGAAGAGCGAGTGAACCGCTCAGAACCGTCATATCACGCACCAGATTCCGATGGCTGTATCACTTGTTACGCAGACCAGCACACCGACTCTCGTTTCGTGCGTTGTTTATGCGAGCGGGGTGTGGCTGTAAGAAGGGAGGCCAAGCGATGAATGATCAGCATGTTTGATGATCCCCACATTGAAATCCGTGTCCTTTCGTGTTTCCCGACTACCGTAACGGGGTCCGAATGACGATTAACATGTATGGTTGGATACACTTGTTGATATGGCAAATAGTTCACATCAATGGCGCCTGTGGTGTGAGAACTTGAGTCCCTCCCCGTTCCAATTATCTTCCACGGCAACCGCGATCTCAGTCTTTTGACACACTATGTTGCTAAGCAATATGGCACACGTTATTTTTGTATTCTCTTTTGTTTATTATTTCGCTGTTTCACCTATATTATCCCTTTGTATCGTGACACAATAGTTTGCGTTTGTCTCTCACCATTAGCTAATGTGAACGGATGAAGATGACCGGTGTTCATGGTTGACGACTGCTAACCGTCAGTCGTCATGAAGGCGGGTTCAGAGACCCATTCTCCCTTAATCTATTCGACAAGAATTTCCGAACTAGGAAAAATAATAAACCAAAATGAGTTTGTCATGTGCGTGATTTCTATAATCTTATTAAGATAAACCATTACTTTGACCTTCGACACTCAAAGACCAATTATATGAAAGCGTTATTATAAATTATTACATTGCACGGATTGTTCTACATCGCTTTTCTTCCGATATTGCTTATCCAACTTGTCGAACTAAGTGAAAGCTGTTTCACCTTACCAATTGTTGAGTTTCTTACAGGTGACTGATAATTTTCGCCTAGATTCTCGTTGAATTCTTCCAGTTAATATTTTCACCTTTCCAAATCCACCATAAGACCAAACCACTTGCATCTGACCTCGTACATATCTTTCACGTGATTCAGTGTAATCGCTGCTCAACAGGTTTGCTCAGATAAAACCACATCCGCATCGGTCATTATTTATTTATTCGAAGTGGAAATCACTGTTCCAGGACTTGGTTGTCACACCAGTTCCCTTCGATACCACAGCGAGGACTGTTCGTTGGGATTAAACTGCCGAATTTTAATACCATCTGTAGGATCCGCAATATACTGGCGTGTCTCCCAACTGTTGGCTGAACAAACTCCCCATATAATAGTTGTAACCGTGTGGCTCAGGGTTATTACGGTAATGTACTAATTGTATTCTCAATGGCCGTTTCTGCAGGATCATAACGTCTATTTGCCACGGTCGGCGATCCTTCAAACTGGCTCCCATGAAATACACATTTGCTGCACAGCGACAGCTTTTAGGCCTTTAGATTGCATGTTCCGCGGCAATTCGTATTTTGCGCCCGACAACTTACTAACACTGTTCAACAAATAGGTAGTTTCTATAACAGGAGTGCCAACCTCTCCACCTTATATAATACACTCCACTGATCCTAGTAGTGTATTCCGATGTTACGTTGTACTTCGGATTGCACTGATGGAAGGTAATGATAACTTTCAGTAACGTCCAGTCTAGATTGTACGAATTATATGTAAATGTACCGAATCACAACCTATACAGCATGCATGTGTGTGCCAAATACGTTTAAAACACTACTGCTACACTCGCCCCAAACTACTAACTGCAGCTTGCCGCTGGGAAATAATGAGTTAGCCGAGATCGTCGCTTCTATGATTCAGTGCCCTCAAGTCGCAGAAACCAGCAAGTCAGCTATCATAGAAGGCGTATACTTGCTACTGTAACGTTGCACCATGGCGGAAATATTTTGGTGAAACCACTCACCATATTCATCGTTAAGATCCCAGGTGATCAGAGAAGAGTCTAAGTGATTAGGCAGTAAGTGTATCCTGAATGACATTCGAGCGCCAACAGCCTGATAGTCTACAATGAGTTTTTATAACGGCTTTGTAATTCTCCGCATCTGTTCTTTCCAAAAATCCAGTACTCACTGCTTTAAATGAGCTCCAAGCTTATGAATCAAATGAAATCATTCCAAAGCATTGTCTGCCATTATCCAGCCATTATACGGCGAATATCAGGCCTAACCAGTGTCCTTACTTTGAGCTTCGCATCACCGATCTTCGGAAATATTTTGTTTTAGTGGCTGAAACTCGAAACCATATCATTTGAAGGATTTGACAACGTTTTTAATCAAACCAAGCTTGATGTGCGGGGGTGGTACATAGATATGCTCAGGTTGCACAAGTAGTGCTTGCTTTAAACGCATTTTGCCTGAAGCATACTCCGTCCTCTCTGGCCACTTTTCGGTTGTGTAGTGCTGTTGAGTAGCTCTACTGTCCCATCAGCACAAGAAACAGCAATATTTTGTGAAGCCTCTTTGCATACGCATTGGGAATCCAATGATTTTGAAGTCAGCTCAGATGTTTCAACAGCACTTATCGTAGTTCAGTGCAGCATCTGTTGCACACTTTCGTAAGTCTTCTTCATGTCGATGGGATGTAACAGAGTCACAGTTGGGTTAACTTTTCCAATGTGGAGCAGTATGACTTAAGACTACTCTTGGATGAGTCAATGAATGAACGCCATTCATCGCTGATATGCCTCATGTCCAGTTCCTTTATAAGATTTTTCACGTCGGAGCAGTAACCAAACATTTCTTTTGTGTCGTTTAAACCGGACACTTTAACACTTCGCTTTCTGTAGACAGTTACATTATTGTTTTCAGTAAGTGCCATTGTTGCAGCCGAGAAGCCAACAACTCGGCCTTGTCTTAAATCAAGTCCAGGTCATGCGGCCCTGATTGTTCAGTAAGATGTAGGTTGACATCATCACCTTCAAAGTTTTCACAGATATCAGTATCAGGTGAAGTTGCCGACGCAGAATCAGGTTTTGGCGATGCAGTATCACTACTCATCATCAGTGGCATTGTCAATGGAGGCACTGGACTGGGTAGGTTGCAATTGTGTGGAACAGGTCGTATAGCTGATGAAAGATCGGGATAATGAATGTTGTCATTGTTTCCGTTGGAGAATTCAAGGACTCAAGTTAGGCCGAAGTAGCTGTCTTTATTGTGATTCTTCGGCTCTCTCCACACCATGAGGATTGCAAACGACATCTTGCCTTTACCCCCTGAGTCAGATGAAGATTGCACAGAACACATCCCATACGTGGCGCCCACTTCTTATCTGAATCTCCCAGTTCTATCCCGAAATATGCGTAGTAGGCAGAATTCAGTAGTGAAGAAATGGCTATGCACAACGACTTTGTAATAAACTGTTCACAGACGTAACAAAATGATTTCGGTCATTGAGACAGCAGCGTCTTTCAGCCGTGAGCAAGATTTCAGTTAATGATACACACTTGCGCAAACCCCAAAGGATGCAGCCAACGTGCTTTGCCAAGACATTCATACTTTCCGGAGTGAACCATCATTCATCCGCTTTTTACAAAGCTTCCATCGCCACCAGGGTTGAACCACGTATCGTTCACAGCAGCTAGCGTGATGAAAACGCTAATGTCATTGCGCGTACACAGCTCACCTGGTGTGGACGACATCAAACCGAAGGCCTTGAAGATAGGGGCCATGAGCCTTGCCGAACGATTACCTCGGTT